TGGAGCAGGAGGATTTCTCGAGCCCAGGAGTTAGAGGCTGTGGTGAGCTGTGATTGCACCACTGCACTCCAGCCCTTGCAACAGAGTAAGATTCTGATACAAAAGAATAATAAAAAAATAGATAAATAAGTATGAGAGCAAGTCATAACACTTATTTTTTGCTGTGCTGTAATGTTGTCACATCTCCTAAACTGCTATATGTTAAGATGTTTTTTTGTTTTTAAAGTTCAATAGGTTAAATCTATATTTGTTATTTAAAAAATGAAACTTAGGTATTTTATTTACAGATATTGGGTGAAATAACTATTCCAAACATTGCAATTTGAGGAGCAAAACACGTTTCATATTGATTTGAAACTGATATTTAACTTGAGATCTGTTTTAAAAAAGGAGTGGGGAAATATTCAAGAGACATGGTATGTGCCTGAAAGGTTTGTGCTCCCTCCCAATTTTCCTTTTTCTTTTAAAATATAATGTATAATAATAACAATATTAACAACAACTGAAATACCCCAGGAATAGTCCAAGCCCCTGCTTCTGGTGCTGCTCCCCTTCCTCCCTTCCTTCTTCTCCTGCTTCCACTGAGTCATAATTCAGTGTCTTTGAATAAAAACCCCATTGCTTATTTTTGTTTGGCTCCAGTTTAGACTCAGAAAGGCACTGAGCATGAGCTGCTGCTTTCATGTTCTTTGCCTGAGTCTAAAACAGCTTCATTAGTGGGGCCAAAAACAGTGGCAGTTTTGGCAGGCATTGCCAACTGCTCATCACTTTCAGCTGCAGTGATACATCTGGATGCAAAGAACTAAACTGAAAATAGCATGAACCTCCACTAGCTATTAAATGAAAATACGGTGTCAGTCTGAAACAACTGTGCATGATAATCATCTCTGTACCTTTCTATTTTGAAATACAGAAATGTAGGCCCTACTTCAGACTTATCTAATTATAATCAGGGGTGAAGGCACTGGGTGGTACAATCAGCTATATTTAAACAAAAAAATCTTCATGGATGATTCTGATAGCCAAGTAGGGATTTGAACTATTCGTTTATAGTATGCACTCAGGATTATTCTGCCAAAAATAATTAGGTTTAAATAACTGTATTTGCTCTGAGAGAAACAGATCTAATGTGTAATTAATAAATGAAAAATATTTACTCATGGCATCCACTGCACACACTTTTTCTTCCCCACTTTTTCATACACATCCTAAGGTATAGTCTCAGATTTGAGTTAATCCTTTTGCCTATTTAATAATGGTATATGGAGTCTCTTACTAGGTTTGCAAAGCTACAGAGTAGGAGCCGTTAAAAAGATCAGTAAAAAGGCAGTTAACTGTAGTTTTTTTCCCTTTAAAGTCAGTTTATAATTTTTTTAATGTTAGGAATATGAAACAGAAGTTTCTAGAAAGAGGACAGTATCTCTTCTCTTCCATTGTGTTACAGTGGGTTTAGGAGGAAAGAGGAGGGAAAGAAGAAAGGGAAATTTTAAGGATTCAGTAAGGATGATATACATTATTTATTGTCTTATTTCATCAGTATAGGATTTGGGGTTTGCTTAAATAAAAGTAGTACCTTGTGTAATATTTTTAAATACATTGATGTTTGTCTATTTTTGAGTTCTGTTAATATGGACTGCTGGCATTTGCAGTTTAAGCTAAAAAAATTGTAACTTCAGTTAAATATTTAAAATCCGTAATGTAGCAATGTATAGTAAGGAAGAAGATAAAATTGGACCAGCAGGTGTCAGCAAGAACCAAAATAAAGAACATTAATCCTGATTATCTCAACATTTATTTTATTACTTTTCAGTGATGCTGCAGGTGTAAAACAACTTTAAAATGATATTTTAGTGGATATATGCCTGCATTCTAATGTAGAATCTTTGTGTCAGTATATTGCTCTAATGGGAAATGATCAGATGTTTTAGAGAATTGTCTGAAATACAGCAATAGCTCCAAAAAGATTTAAAGAAACAGACAAGTGCTATGAATTTTTTCTCATTTCAGTACCTTGAAAAATTTTTTTACATAAATTATTCTATATCAAAAAGCTTATATTTAACAGTTTTAATATTTCTGGAGTTATTTGTTACGCTTTTTTCAGTATTCCACTTCTGTTTATTAGTTAATATTCATAGGCATTTTATAGAAATAGGAGTAGGAATTTATAAACAACCGTCTTCATAGTGGGCTTAATTTTCTGATGAAAATAGGGCATATATATGCTTTCAGCATACAATTAAAGATTTTGTTTTAAGTCCATTCTAATTCAATGAATAGTCAGGGGAAGGTAATGTCTGCTTTTCCAAAGAATTGAAAGGTTCATTACATTTCTCAATTTGTCAAAATTTTTATTAGAAATTATTACTTTTTTCTTCCTTCTCACTTGATGAATTGATCAAAATACAAATTCAGTAGGCAAATGTGATATCCAGTATTTTTGTTAATCTTATTAGAGTAGTAATCAGTAAAATAATGAGTGACAGGAACATTGCTGAGACCACACAGAAGATATGTGATAATTCAGGCCAGTCTGAGATACTTAGATTCTCTATGTTTTATTTCTTGTTATACCAAATAAAGACCTTCTATTTTACATTTATCCTTAATTTATTAAATCTAGTGCTACCCAGAAGTTTGATTTCTAGATATTTATCAGAGTGTGTTGAAAACTTATGTGTGGACCTGTTTGCAAATATTCCTAATGGCTTTGTTCATAATTATTCTGAACTGGAAACAATGCAGATAATGGCTTTGTTCATAATTATTCTGAACTGGAAACAATGCAGACACCCCTCAGTTGGAGAATGAATATTGAGATACATCCATTCAGTGGAGTACTACTCAGCCATAAAAATGAACCAACTGTATAACCTTGTTGAATCTCAAATGCACCATGCTAAGTGAAAGAAGTCACATTCAAAGGGCTTCATTTATGTGACATCCTAGAAAGGTTAAAACCTTGTAAGGACAGAATGCAGATTAGTGGCTGTCAAGGGTTGGAGGAGGATTTGACACTGAAAGGACACAGGGGACTTGTATGGACTGATGGAACTGTTCTATATGTTGATTCTAGTGGATGATTTCATTACTCAGTTTGTTAAACTTGTAGGAATTATACACTAAAAATGACAGTTTATTTGTATGTTATACCTTAATTTAAAAAGTTCTAAAAATAAATGTTAAAAAAGGTACATAGACTGAAAAATAAAATGAAATAGAGATAATAATTCATACTTCATTTATCTGTTTGTTGGTTGTCACGTATTTCTGTAATTATTTTTTCTGTAATTTTTCTGTAATTACAGAAATTATTTCTGTAATAATTCATACTTCATTTAGATACATTTCTAACACTACAATCATGTTTATCTCTGGTTTCATGTAGATAATTAAATTTGCCCTGTTACCATGCTCTTTATTTAACATTTCTTCCTATATCTTTAGCCTTCTATCTAAGAGGTCATTTTGATTCTTCCAATTCTCTTTGCTATTTTTTGTTCATGTAGGCTTACTTGCTTGAGTGTCTGGCTATTTTTTATAATGTATTGGGTATTATATGTACAAAAGTATTTGTACAAATAATCTGGAGCCTAAGACGTTATATCTTCCTTTAGAGAATTTTTATATTTTTGTCTAGGTAGCTGGGGGCAGTAGCTATCAGACACTACTTTAATTTTAAGGTTTGAATAAACGTATGAAGTATAATGTGTTTGTTTATTTTGCATCAGGCTCTTGCCCTGTCACCCAGTCTGGAATGCAGTGGTACAATTGGTGCTGCAACCTGAACCTCCCAAGCTCAAGCAGTCCTCTCATCTCAGCCTCCTGAGGAGCTGAGACCACAGGCACCTGCTACCGTGCCGGGCTAACTATTTTTATTGTTATTTTTTGCAGAGACTATCTCCCTCTGTCGCCCAGACTGGAAATGCACTTATTAATTAGCTTGATTGAGCTATTGCACAGTGTGTGCATATTTCAGTATATGTTTGTATGATAAATATATACAGCTTTTGTCAGTTAAAATACTTTTAGTATTTGAGATGATTTAATGCTGTGAGAAGGCTTGTTTATTATGTTTAGGGCTTTTGAGGTCCTTGTTCAAATCGTGGAGATGTTCCTGGTAGTCCTTTGTTGAACTCTAGACTACAGTTAATGAAAAATAAAAATGAAATAGAGATAATATTAATACAGTTTTTCTTTCTCTGTTTCCAAGAGACTGTAAGAAATGCCATACAGCCTCGTAGCATCTCAACTGTATTTCCACAGTCAGCACTGATTGTTAAATCAGTGGAAAAAACAGGCTTAGATGCTGGCTTGTTTCTCTTGACTTCTTTTAGCCCTCAGATACTCTGGACCTCTAACTTGTTTCTATTTCCTTAGCTCTATGATGCATTAAAGCAGACACACACACACACACACACACACACACACGTATATGTGCACACATATATGTATATACACACATATGACATATATGTATGTTTATATATGTATGCATATATATATTTTTTGGTAAAACTATACTCGGAGAGTTGTCTGAATTATTTTGCCACTATGGAAGCAAAGATTGCCTATACTGTTTTTTATGCTCATACACACATACAAATGTGCTTTTCTTAAAAACAGTGTTAAGATAATTTTGTACATTTTATTATGCAAAGTGATGTTTTTCATTTAATATATTACAAATTCATATAATAATTAAGAAAATATTTATTTACTTTATTCCTGTGCCAAGCACTATAGGGATAAAGTGATACAGAAAAGAATTTCCTAACCTTATTTGGCTTATATTTTGGCAAGGTAGATAGCTTCAACAGATAAATATACAATTAACTAAATGTAATTTTGATAATGACAAGAATAATGTCCTTTGATATTATATGGAAATTTTTTTTTGAGTCTTTGTCATTTCACATTTTCATACCTTTAAAAATATCACTAAAATATTTTCTTTTTCTTTCTTTCTTTACTTTCTCTCTTTTTTTTAAATAACAAAGAAGGAGTCTCGCTGTGTTGCCCAGGCCGGTACTGAATTCCTAGGCTCAAGCAATCCTTCTGCCTTGCCCTCCCAAAGTGCTGAGATTACAGGTATGAGCTACCATGCCAGGTCTAATATTTATTTTTATTTATATATTTATTTATTTGGAGATTGAGTCTTGCTCTCTAACCCAGGCTAGAGTGCAGTGGCACGATCTCGACTCACTGCAACCTTTGCCTCCTGTGTTCAAGCAATTCTCATGTGTCAGCCTCCCTAATAGCCGGGACTACAGGTGCCCACCACATGTGGTTAATTTTTTGTACTTTAGTAGAGACGGAGTTTCATCATGTTGCCCAGGCTGGTCTTGAACTCCTGAGCTCAGGCAGTTCGCCTGCCTGGGCCTCCCAAGGTTCTAGGATTACAGGTGTGAACCACCTCGTCCAGCTTATTTTAAATTTTTTTAGAGACAGGGTCCCACTCTGTCACTTAGGCACAGTGGTGTTATCATATTAAACTCCTGGACTCACGTGATCCTGCTGCCTCAGCCTCCTGAGTAGCTAGGATTGCAGGTACATGTCACCATGCCCAGCTGTTTCTTGGGTGTCTGTAGAAATGGGGTCTTGCTATGTTGCCAAGGCAGGTCTTGAATTCCTGTCCCGCAAAATTTCCCCGCTTTGGGCTCCTAAAGTGCTGAGTTGTAGGAGTATGCCACTGTACCTAGCCTAAAAATTTTAATAAGCATTTTCAATCTAGTGTTCTGTTTTATGTATTTGTTATAATTTATTTAGCCATTCTTATGAGGTTAGACTTATCCTTTATTTCCAGTTTTTTAAAACGATAAATGCTTTTATAATGTGTACATTCTTATACATAATCCCAAATTCAGTCACTGATTAATTTTTTTAGAAGAGAATTGTGGGATTAAGAGTAGTGAGTTAAAGTATATGAAAAATTCTTGATATTTATTGTCATATTTTTTCTGGAAAGGTTATACATCTATGTAGGCATTATGTATACTTTTATAGTATTTATTATTTTGATAGGTTATCAGCTGTAATATATGTCCTTGTCCCTTAAATTTGTATTTCTTCATGAGTGGTATTCCACATGCTTTATGACTATTTCCAATATGTACTTTTTGTGCCTATTAGTTTATTAAGGAAGCTAAGAAAAAATTATGAAGAGAACTGTGGGGTTAAAATTACAGTAGGATTAGGTCTTCTAATTCTTTTTCAGTTCTGTGATTTTATTATTTTATATTTGGATTATCATTTTTAACTTTTTTGTTGAGAATACTTTTGAAAAACTTTTAGCAATGAGTGGCAGGAAGCAGATTCCAGAGCCTTATTATTATAGGAAATTATGTATTAGATGAACAATACTGTAGTTATCACTGTTACAAAAGAATGAGATGTGAAAATCCTACACACAGATCTGTTTTCCATTGATTACACTCACAGATTACATAGTTTTAAATCTTCTTGGGATCTCAGGCCATTTCAAATGGGTCATTCTGATTTGTGACATGTGTGTACACATGTGCTTACTTTTCATTATTTTGAGGTGTTTTAACATTTATAGGGATTTATAGTACCAAAATAGTATAAATAATATTTTTAGGAGACAAAGTTAGCATAAGAATCAAGAAAGTGTAAAAAACAATAGGTTATTGAATTAGAACAGTGATTGAAGAATTTGAAAACTGTTATATTTTTTGGCGTTAATAATACACTTCTAATGGAAAGAAATGCAGTTTTTTTACAAGATGGTAGACTGGAGGGATCATTAGCATGCCTTTTCCACTTGGAAAGAGAAAATAGTGTGTAAACATTCATGCTGTGAACTTTTTTCCAAGAAGCAACATAGGAACTTAACAGAAAAACTGAAAGAAATCAGAGACCCTTTGAAAGGAGCAGTGGACAGCACTCTACACCATGAACTGAAAGGAAAACTGTTTCCAGACTGCTACACACACTCCTGCAGGGGAACAGAACAATCCAGGCCATAGGGGAAGATAACCCTACCAGCGCTGGAGCTGATGTTCTGAGCAGTGGGGAGTATATGAGAATGAGTGACATCCGATGTGCCTTGTGTGCATTGCCAGATTCCAGTGGGGGCGGAGGGAAGCCATTCCTGATCCTGTCTCACAGGGGACCTTACGGAAGTCTGCCAGCTAACTCAGATTCTGTTCACAGGTTGAGAGAAGCTCCCAACTGAGATTTGTGTGGGGATGAACTTCATCGTCTGTAACTGATGAGTGAATGAAAGGTGTGCTATAGCCACAGGTGCAGGAGCTAGATGCCCCTGCCTCACTGGTAGTGGATCAGGAGAGTCATTGCCTGAAAGCCAAAGGGCATATATGGCCTGGGGCAGTTTTGTGTTCTGAGCACAGGCTGCCTGGAATTCAGCTAGCTGATGTTAGCAAAACACTGCGGGTGTGAGACCTGCCTTGCCAGGTACAGGGGAGTAGGGTGGGGCTTACTGCCACCTGCTAATCTCTACTCCCAATTCAGATTCTTCTATGCAGCATAGGCAGCTGCACTCCTCCCATGAACATTACCCCAGCGGCCAGGGAACTGCCCTCCGATCCCCACTGGGGCCACTGCTTGTGCCTGCACGTGGGGAGCCAGAGCATGGACTTGCCTGACCCAGCCCACACCTGGCTTTGTTCCTCTACCTGCCCTGGTAGCGCGACACAGTGGACAGGGACATTTGGGAGCTCCATGGCCCTGCCCATTGCCTGAAATACCAGAGTGCCACCCGTGGGTAACGTAAGACAAGCAAAAAATCTGCTGTTACCGCTACAGCTGATCCTCTTTCATAAGCGCCACCTCGTGGCTGTCCATTTCAACATCTGCAGTCACAAAAACACAGCAGTTAGGCAGAAGAAAGCATTTGCGTGATCTCAGCCCATTGCCTGACTCGCTCCGGCTAACCAGGAGATCTTAAGTCTCTCCACATGCCCAAGACGTTACTGTTACAGCTGGTATTTGAGAAAGCCAACACACAAAGGGGATTTATAATCAAGGAAATCTTCGTGTCTACATCTCCCCTCCCACCCCCATCAGAGGTGGTTGTGGTACCTGCTGCTGGGAGACTAGAAGACAGGTCACATGTCTGGATTTTTTGCAGGCATTCCATAGCACCTGTCTGGAGTGTGACAGCATCACTTGATGGCTAGACCCAGAGCCACAGCAGGATTCGCAGTAGTCTGGCCTTTAGGGACTATTAATCCTAAGGGAAGGGGGAGTGTACCACATTAAGGGAGCACACTGTGGGACAAAAGAAACTAGACTGCAGGCCTTGAGCCTTTGAACTTTGCAGCTGTGGAAACTTTCAGCAGAGGCACAGATGCAGTGCTGGGCTCACTGGGGCAAGTCTATGGCTTTACCCCAACAGTCAGGCGGCCCTTGTGCTTATGAAGGGTCTTGGAGAATGGGGCTTATTCTCCCCTTTGCCTACCACTGCAGAAACAGCTGGGGCTTCTCCTACAGGAGCTCAGCATGGGTGCATCTGTAGACAGCCTTCCTGGAATACTTCAGGGTTACTGTATCCTCAGAGGAGGAGTAGTCTCCATGTTCAGGCTTGCATGAGAGGTAGAGTAACGACCTCTCTCTACGTGGAACATAAGCATTCCTGAAGATGAAAAGAGGTGCCTGTCTGATCTTAGTAGCCAGAACACTGGGTTAGGAGTGTTACTGGGAGGTGGATTGCTTTCCTACTGGCCTGGAAGGAGAGCTGTGGTGGCTTCCTTCTTTGTCCCTGAAAGATGTCAGTGGATTTCACCAAGCACTTCCCCAGCCACCTCTGTCAAGGGTAGGACCTCTGCCCACCATTGGGATATTGCATTTATCACCTGCTTTAGCTATAGCCAGTTTTACTGATGGGCATGTCCTACTAGCCTGAAGCCTGAACTGTTCAACCTGGAGAACAAAATACTGAAGAGAGAAATTTTAAAATGTACACACCACTGGGGAATGAGATAAGCTTCATGAGACCTCTGCTATTCCAGCCCCACAGGAGTCAGTGAAACTGCTCATATAACCAGTATGTTGCTACTACAACCAGCATCTGAGAAAGGCAGCATCTTGCACAAAGATTCTCTGTAACCACGGAACTCATACAGAGTCTTTGCCACTGAAAGCCCCCAGAGCTGAAGCTAGATGACAATAAAGTCACATCTTGAAGGGGTGAATGTAACCCAGTTAAATAAAAATTAAATATAAAAATAGTTTACCAAATGAGAAGGAACCTGAAAAATAATTCTGGCAATATGAAAACTTAGGTTCTATCACACCCCTAAAAGATCACATTAACTCTCCAGCAGTTGATGCAAATCAAGGTGAAATCTTTGAAATACCAGGCAAAGAATTCAAAACGTTGATTATTAAGTTACTCAAGATACGAGAGAGATGCAAACCAACATAAGTTTTAAAAACGATTCTGGCTATGGATGAAAAATGTTCTAAAAGATGGATATTTTAATGAAAAATTAATCAGAACTTCTGGAAAAGACAGACATATTTAGGGAACTACAAAATGCAGTAGGAAAGTTGTAACAATAGACCAAGTAGAAAAAAGAATTTCAGAGCTTGAAGACAAGGCTTTTGAATTAACCCAGTGAGACAAAAATAAAGGACAAAGAATTAAAAGAAATGAACAAAGTCTCCAAGAAATATGGGATTATATAAAATGGCCAAACCTTAGAATTATAGGTATTTCTGAAGGAGAAGGAAAAATAATGTTTGGAAAACCTATTTGAGGGAATAATTGAGGAAAACTTCCTTGGCCTTACTAGAGATTTAGACATCCAAATACAAGAAGCTCAAAGAACTCCTGGGAAACTTATTTTAAGAAGGATATCACCAAGGCATATAGTCATTAGGTATCTAAAGTCAATGTGAAGGAAAGAATCCTAACAATGGTGAGACAAAAGCATTAGGTAACCTACAAAGGAAACCCTATCAGATGAACAGCAGAGTTCTCAGTAGAAATGTTACAAGCCAGAAGGGTCTTATCTTTAGTCTCCTTAAAAAGAATAAGCGACAGCCAAGAATTTTGTATTGAACAAAACTAGTTTTTATAAATAAAGGAGAAATAGTCTTTGTCA